TCTCCACACATTTACTTTCCTGAATTCTGTGACACGTAGTCACTATTCCCTGTGAGTAGCACTGCTGTGTCACACATTTCATAGAGCCTGCCTTTTGAACTACAGAGGTGCTGAGAGGAAAATTTTCAGGAGGTAGAGTCAGTACAGGAATCACTGCTTGTGGGCAGCAAGGTACCATGGGACATGTAGTCCCTATAAATTGATAGTAAACAGCAGAGGAGAAGCTGCAAAGCATGCAGGGAATCCAGAAAATTGTGGAAAGAGATGACCAGCAGACAGGCAGAACTCACAATATGAAAGGAGATTTTTCAAATAAACTTATACTGGATTGTTAAACATAACTATCGTTTGTATTGTTTTCACAATGCTGATGTTAGAAGTGAAAGTGTATGCTGTGACCATAGGACTCCTTTAAACATTTAATTGATATGTAAATACCTGGTGATCCTGCTGGTGACCTCTAGTTTGCTGGCGGTGGCAACAATCTGTGGGTCCATTGAGCCTCTGCAGTGTTGCCACAGCTTTTGCACATGCTTTGTGTGTCTACAGCACGGGTGTCAAACTGGCGGCCCTACAGCTGTTGCCAAACTACAAGTCCCATGAGGCATTTCAAGATTGACAGTTACCAGCATGACTCCCAAAGACAGAGGCATGATGGGACTTGTAGTTTTGCAACAGCTGGAGGGCCGCCAGTTTGACATCCTTGGTCTACAGTATACGTTGCTCTTTGAACGGCCCAGGTGGTGCTCAGGGCCTCTGCCTTGCATTGCCACTGCTTGCACCCATGTACTAGCTGTCCACAGCCACTCTGTTCTCTGAATGGCCCATGTGGTGGACACGACCTCTGCCCTGCTGTAGAATGTAACAAAGAAAGAATACTATCAATCAAACACTCTCAACTCCTGGTCAGGCATTGCTGCTGGAGACACACACAGCAGAGAGGCTAATGGGACAGGTAATAATGTTTGACTCACAGTGGTTTCTCTGGTCCCATAGCTCTGCCCTTATCACCAGCATTGACAGTGGTTCCTCCGGTCCCATAGCTCTGCCCTTATCACCGGCATTGACAGTGGTTCCTCCGGTCCCATAGCTCTGCCCTTATCACTGGCATTGACAGTGGTTCCTCCGGTCCCATAGCTCTGCCCTTATCACTGGCATTGACAGTGGTTCCTCCAGTCCCATAGCTCTGCCCTTATCACTGGCATTGACAGTGGTTCCTTCGGTCCCATAGCTCTGCCCTTATTATGTGATTGACAGTGGTTCCTCTGGTCCCATAGCTCTGCCCTTATCACTGTGATTGACAGTGGTTCCTCCGGTCCCATAGCTCTGCCCTTATCACTGTGATTGACAGTGGTTCCTCCGGTCCCATAGCTCTGCCCTTATCACTGTGATTGACAGTGGTTCCTCCGGTCCCATAGCTCTGCCCTTATCACTGGCAATGACAGTGGTTCCTGCGGTCCCATAGCTCTGCCCTTATCACTGTGATTGACAGTGGTTCCTCGGTCCCATAGTTCTGCCCTTATCACTGGCATTGACAGTGGTTCCTCCGGTCCCATAGCTCTGCCCTTATTATTGTGATTGACAGTGGTTCCTCCGGTCCCATAGCTCTGCCCTTATCACTGTGATTGACAGTGGTTTCTCCTGTCCCATAGCTCTGCCTTTATCACTGTGACTGACAGTGGCTCCTCCTGTTCCATAGCTTTGCCCTTATCACTGGCATTGACAGTGGCTCCTCCTGTCCCATAGCGCTGCCCTTATCACTGTGATTACCAGAGGCTCCTCCTGTCCCATAGCTCTGCCCTTATCACTGTGATTGACAGTGGTTCCTCCTGTTCTATAGCTCTGTCATAATCACTGAGATTGACAATGGATCCTCCTGTACCATATCCCTGCCCATATCACTGTGGTTGGCAGTGGCTCCTCCTGTCCCACAGCTCTGCCCTTATCGCTGTGATTGACACTAGTTTCTCCTGTCCCATAGCTCTGCCCTTATCAAAGGTATTCACAGTGGCTCCTCCTGTCCCATAGCTCTGCCCTTATCACTGTGATTGACACTGGTTTCCTCCTGTCCCATAGCTCTGCCCTTATCACTGGTATTGACAGTGGCTCCTCCTGTCCCATAGCTCTGCCCTTATCACTGTGATTAACAATGGCTCCTCCTGTCCCATAGCTCTGCCCTTATCACTGTGATTGACAGTGGTTCCTCCTGTCCCATAGACCTGCCCTTATCACTGTGATTGACAGTGGTTCCTCCTGTCCCATAGACCTGCCCTTATCCCTGTGATTGACAGTGGCTCCTCCTGTCCCATAGCTCTGCCCTTATCACTGTGACTGACAGTGGATTCCGAGTCTCTCCTGCAAGCTACAGGGAAAAGAGGGGGCTGAGTGGTCACATGACTATGAATAAAAGCTCTCGTAAAAGGGTATTGCAGAGGATTTTAAAGTGGAACTTCACTCTCTCAATCAACATCAACTACTTTAAATTCCTATGCTGTTAGCATTAGTAAATATATAGGAAAGTATATTATATGTACTTGGTTTAAACTGTGTATTACATTTCTTTAGTTACTCCTAGTTTCCATAGCTAGGCAAATGATGTCCTACATACAAGGAGTCTTCAGGAGGGGAGGAGGGGTTTACCCTCCTGCCTGTATGCCTAAACTAAGGGCAGATGGATTATAGGAAGTAAATGGTACATGAATCATCAGGCCTTTTTCAAGATGTTCACAGCCAGAAATGCTAGGGGGTGTTGTTCTAAGTGATTTTGCAGCAAAATAAAGCAGGTAGACGTGGAAGGATGGGGGATTTGTTTGAATATTAAAAATTAATCACAACACAAGTATCACGCACAAATTTTTTCTGCGCAGGAATCTGCAACGTGTATAAAACCTATTCCAGTGCCTATGAAAACTGATGTCTCTGCAAGTGAAATCTGTGCATCAGTCTCCCATCAGTTTTTCTGCTTGTAAAGTGTGCACGAGGCCTTAATGATTGGAAATGGGACAGAGTCCTTACTGCTGGTGTTTTCCTGGCTTTACATTTACAAACAGCTTAAGGCCTCATTGGCACCCCTCTGTGTCTGCTAAACAGCAAGCACATTTTTCCTGCGGGTCCGTGAATTTCTGCGATTTACATGCATTCCTGGACCCGTTAAGGTTGATATGTCATTTGCTTTACAAGTTTACATTACCTTCTCTCCCAAAGTGTTCAGACTGCAACATGGTCACTTTGTAGTCAGCTACAAGGTAAGAGGGTGCACCGGGGCTGATCTGTGTCAGACATTGGGAGGCTCCAGGGTGTTCCACAGAACCAAAATGAAAAGCAGGAGGTATGAACAATTTATCAAGCTACATTTATAGCATTTGTACTGTTATTCTTTATGACAGGTCCTCTTTCAATTTATTAACTGACCCGCATGCATCTGTACATTGAAAACTGTCACAATATGATCTCTTCTGCTACTGCCTTAGAAATGCACGAAAAAAAAAAAATAAATGTTGACACGACTCGTAAACTAGAGGAGCCAGCTGTACTGTGTCCGTTTTCTTGGCTGGAATTTCAATAACTTTTCGAAAGAAAAAAAGTTTAATGAACAAAGTAGAGATGTCAGGATTAGCTGTGGGTAGGAGTTGGAAGGTTAGCAATCTGTACTCATAACTTTCAGTTCATTGACTTTTGTGGGATGTTGTAAAAACAGGAAAAACATTTTTTGAAATCTTAGTTTATAATTTCTGTTGCCAAATTTAGAAAAAAGTAACTACGAAGCAAGAACGCAGCCTACCTAGAGCATCAACAGAACAGTATCTACAGCATATGGGCCGTCATCATTTAGAAAATGTAATCTCAGGTTATGTACCCTTATTGAATGACTGCAAGCTGCATCGGTGCCTGAGTTGGAGGGTCTTGACAGCTTAACACCATCTCCTAATTCCAAAAAGAGCAACCAAATAAGTGGAATTTTACCAACCTGAGGACAGAAATATTGCTGGGAGGTATTCCAGTATGATGTTTCCATTACTTCTAGGGCCCCATCCCACCTTTGCAGTGCGCTACAATACATTAATGCATATTTATGCCATTGAAACGTGTTGTATATCCAGTAAATAAGCTTTAAAGGAGAAGTATAGCCAAAGCGTTTTTTTGGCTATACTTTTCTTATGGATCACAGGTGTGCAGTTAGTTCTGCACTCCTGTGACCTGCTAAAGCCCACTGTCAGCTGACATCACAGAGCCGGTCCAGGCTGGGAAAAGATCCTGACCATATGGTCAGGATCCACCCAGATACCTGGACCAGCAGCTGGCTCAGCCTCTTAGTGAGCCAATGAGAGCCTGAACTAGCCGCTCTCCCGCCCCCTGCACAGACCAGAGCTCCAGTGAGTGCTGGAGGGGCAGAGCAGAGAGCTGGTGTCTGACAGTCACCAGCTCTCTGCAGGCTGAAGACCGAGAGCTGAGCGATCAACAGTGTTTGATCACTCAGTTCTCGGTCTTAGGTTTCGGGTTAGCCAACTAGGTATTTTTCACTCCATAAGATGTACTTTTTTCCCCCCCAAAAAAGGGGGGAAAATGTCAGTGCGTCTTACGGAGCGAATATGGAGCGGCCGGTCCGGTATTTCAGCCGCCGCCACCACGTCAGAATATCGGGCCGGCCGCTCAGCTCTTCTCTGCAGCAGGACCTTACCTGTTCCTCGGTTCAGCGCTGTGCAGTTTTCCCGCGCCGGCATCTTTAGTGTGGGCACCTGCCTGTGACAGTCGGGTGCCCACTGCACATGCGCAAGAAGCGCTGCGCTTTGTGAATGGTCCGGTGTCTTCAGGGACACATGGCAGGTCCTAGAAGACGCCAGGCCATTCACAAAGCGCAGCGCTTCTCGCGCATGCGCAGTGGGGACCCGGCACAGCCGGTTGCCCACACTAAAGGGAGGAAAACTCCACGGAAGTGGGAGCGGGTACCTGTCAAATTCAGGTACCCACTTCCCCTCCCTCCCCAAAGGTCCGCAGTCTCTTGGTCATCCCCTGTACTGTCTGCAGTCTCTGGTCATCCCCTGTGCTGTCCGCAGTCTCTGGTCATCCCCTGTACTGTCTGCAGTCTCTGGTCATCCCTTGTACTGTCTGCAGTCTCTGGTCATCTCCTGTACTATGTCCGCAGTCTCTGGTCATCCCCTGTACTATGTCCGCAGTCTCTGGTCATCCCCTGTACTATGTCTGCAGTCTCTGGTCATCCCCTGTACTATGTCTGCAGTCTCTGGTCATCCCCTGTACTATGTCCGCAGTCTCTGGTCATCCCCTGTACTATGTCTGCAGTCTCCGGTCATCTCCTGTACTGTGTCCGCAGTCTCTGGTCATCCCCTGTACTATGTCTGCAGTCTCCGGTCATCTCCTGTACTGTGTCCGCAGTCTCTGGTCATCTCCTGTACTATGTCTGCAGTCTCTGGTCATCCCCTGTACTGTCTGCAGTCTCTGGTCATCCCCTGTACTATGTCCGTAGTCTCTGGTCATCTCCTGTACTATGTCTGCAGTCTCTGGTCATCCCCTGTACTGTCTGCATCTCTGGTCATCCCCTGTACTATGTCCGTAGTCTCTGGTCATCCCTTGTACTGTCTGCAGTCTCTGGTCATCTCTGTACTATGGACCAAAAAATACGGTATGGAGTGAAAAATACGGTAAGTATAATTGTTTTTTTTTTTTTTTTAAGTGACCATACTTCTCTTTAAAACATAAGAAAAGTTTGAGAATTTATTTCCATATTTGTTCTAGGTCAGAAACTCAGAAAGCATTGAAGCCAAAGCATCCATGTGACAGCCAGGGAATTAACCTTCTCAAAGAAAAGAAAAGTAATATTTTTATCATGACACTTTAAAGTAACTTTGTCACCAAAGGGTCACTGTTAAAAGAAGGTCATCCCTGTTAGAAGAAGTCCATCTATACCTACCTATCCAGCAGCTTGTGTCTTAAATTCTGGTACTTAACTCGGGGGAATAGGCATTTGACCCAACCAGAAAGCTGAACCAGTGAAGCAGTGACATTTCAAGACACGGGCTGTCGGTAAAGGTAAGTATAGATGGGCTTTTTTTAAAGGGTACTTTTTTTTAAATTGGGTTTTCAACACGAATGCACTGAAAATACAAAGGGGTAGGAGGCAGGCTTCCCACTTTAAAGACCTATACATCACATCTTCTGAGGTAGGTACATTACTTCAGTTTGTTCAGTTAAGCTTTGACAAACAAAATGTGGAAGCTGAATGCTTTCTAGGCAGAGCTTAGAAAGACGAAGGGATATAATACACAAAGTGCCAACATCCCTAATGAATACAAGGTGGGACTGTAATGGCACAATTTACTTGTATGATAAATTTCAACAATTCAAAAGAGATTTTTTATAAAAACAATATGACATTTTATTTACAATCTTCAAAAATAAATATAAAGCTACAATACATATTGTGGCGGTGTCATCAGAGATGGTATTGCAAATCTAATCATGGATCATGCATGGTTTGCACTTGACGCGTTTCGTGATCAGCAAAAATCTCTTCTTCAGAAGTGCTCAAGAAGGCATGACATATGATTCCATGTGAGGTAAAAACCACCAAGAAATATTAAGAACAAATTGTTATCTGAACACAGCCACGGATTTCTCATATATCTCAGGCAAAAATTATGAAACAAAAATTAATAAAGAAATACTGAGACCAGTGGATGAAAAATGCCGCCCAAACACCTCCTGAAGGGGCCTTGCCCAAATGCACCATCAACAAGATTACCTACTGGTTGGTAATGGTAGGGCAGTGCTACTATGAGTACAAAGTGTTGACTACAAGGAATTTGTGTGAGAAAGTGTTGATGACCTGATAAAAATCAGGATTGAGATGTGAAAGACAATATGCATATGCAGGACAATGGGGCAATATACCAGGTCTATCCAAAGAAACATGCTTGATGGCTGTGAGCTTCACCAGATTTTGCACTCTCCAGTATTAGTAATTCAACCCCATTGCCTCTGCGGTCACACATTGACGGAGGGTATTGGAAAATCAGTGGGAATAAAGGGCAGCAAGAGTAGAAAGCCAAACTGGGGCAAATCTAACAACACCAGCATTGGCACTGTAATACAAGAGTACAAGCCATAGTGGAAGTGAAGGTGGAGGGAAGTAGAGAATTCGATCCAGGTGCTCCAAGTTGCTATAAAGTTTAAGTACTTATTGTGCTGTCATCATGTCTTCCATCTTTATGATGTGGTTACATTTACTCACCCACTCCTGAATATGCAATCTTCAATGCCTGAGGATCAGTGCCCTGCCCGCAAAGAAAGGAAATCTAAAAAGAGTCTCTTTTGCTGCCGTAAGGGGTCCTGGGATTATGGAGAGCAAGGCCACCTCCGAAGCCTCTAGCCATTTGGTGCTTGACTGCACAGTCTGGAGATGGCCCTCCAGGGCCTGACCTTCTGTTATAAGTGACCCTGTGGTGACAGGGTCACTTTAAAGGAAACCTGTCGTGCATTGCTACTTTTTGAGTCACTGACCTGGAACAAGCTTATACATTTTGGCACTCTGAAGAATAATGTTCTTATGAGCCACAGTAAGCAGCCTCGGTCATAGGAGGGAAACAGTGCCTACAGGGAAACCTAACAACCGTTGTGGCTTCCTCCAAAATGTCCACACACTACAGTACAATTACACCGAGGACTGCAGGACTCCTCAGGTACACAGAAGATGATCTAGTCTTTTCTAAGGTAGTCAGGTACCTTCTGGTGTCGGCATTACATTTATTTTATAAACTTCACAAATGCTGACAGATTCACTTTCAGTTCTCAGATCTGAACCGATAAAAAACTGGTAGCCTATACATGGGTATATGCCAGAAATACCAGAGTGAGCTGTCAGGGACGAACGTAGGAGGCCATAATTAACTGAGAAGGTATTTAAGGCCTTGTGCTCAATCGGCCCAGAATATAATATCACAGGCATGTAAGGGGAATCCAGACCAAACCTAAGAGGGGAAATCACTGGAAATAACTTGTATAATAACTGCAACAATCGAAATATTATGGCACGAAATGTGAAAAATAAGGCAACTAATTAATCAGATTGCATCTTCCACTGATCGAGTACTCTAAAATCTGATTGGTTGATAAAGGTCATCCTGTCCTCACTTATCCTATAAAGCAAATGATATGGAAAATGTAATAATACCTGACAACCAATCAAATTGGTTGGTATGAATTACTTCACTCTGCTTATTATGTTTGCCTGACCTTGGTGCTTTAAGTATAGAGTACAGAAGTAGGAGGTTCTGAGAAAGTCAAAACTTAGACTGATGACACTCGGGCGATTATTTTGCCTCACTAATGTGCCCCTTTGTCACTAAGAAAGTCATAATGATTTTCTATGGGATCCCTAACTACAGTGAACTTTTTAGACTAGTTTCAGGCTCAGTGACCAGAATTCATCAGCATTTCTACTCAGCGGCAAAATCACTAGCAACAATCACTCTTAATGCTTTTCTATGAAAAGTTGCAGCAATTGCTAAGCTTACCTACAAATCTCTGAAGGAGAGCGATTTCTACAGAGCAACCCAATGCTGTAACAAATCGCCAGAAAATCTAGCGATGAAATCGCTAGCTACAAATGGATGGTAATCGCTGGCATTAGCGATTTGTAGCGGCAATTAGGCTCCAGGCACACTAGCCTAAAAACCTGCTCCTAGAGGACTTTAGTGTTTTGCCTGTAGAAGCAACTAATGTTATCAGGGGCGGACTGACCATTTGGAAACTCGGGCACTGCCTGAGGGCCCGGGGTCAGTAGGGGGCTCCATAAAATGCCCCTGGTACCTTTTTCATAGGCTTTTTTGAGTTTGGGCAAGGAAACAGGGGCCCCATGATCCCCTATTGAGGGCCCGGGATCAGTAGGGGGCCCCATGAGATGCCCCTGGTACCTTTTTCATAGGCTTTTTTGAGTTTGGGCAAGGACACAGGGGCCCCATGATCCCCTATTGCCTGGAGGCCCCATGAGTTGTCAGTCCGCCCCTAAATGTTATCCTATGTGTCCATTCACATTAGGTAGTCCAGAGGCGTTCTTTAAGCTCAGCGTTTAGAGGCAAAAAAAAAAAATACTCTTCTGTTTTGTGTTTTTGAGAATGTTTTTCTGGCAGAATAAGTCCTCATACACACGCTGGTAATGTTAGCTGTGTAAAGTCACATTAAAAATGTGAGTTTTTCATCTTTTTTTAGCGTTTTTGCATTAGCGTTTAGTGGCACTTTGCCGCATTTATCAGTTTTCCTGCATTTTTCCACGTTTGCGGTTTTTAGCTTTTTTACCGAAAAAAAAATTTTTTTGATCAAAAAAAGTCCAAAAACACCGGTTTGTGCCGTTTTACAGCGTTTTACCAGATAAGAGCACTAGAGCGTTTTTACAGCTAAAAAACTCCTTTAGAAACCCACTAGTTCTGGGGTTTTTTCCAGCCAAAAAATGTTGATTACAGTCTATGTGTGTATGGTCACATAGGATAACATGCTGAAGAGTTTACTGGCTGTAGGAAAAAACTTCAAAAGCCAAAAACAGCAGCTGTAAAAATGTCAAGTGTGCATGAGGACTAAAAACGCCAGTACAAGAAAACACTGAAAATTACAGGGTTTTTTAATGCCAAGAACACCGTTGTTTTTTTTAAGATAGTGTTCATGGAGCCTTAATTTCTGCAAAAAAAGATTTGCTGTTGTATCATTAGCCTTACACAGTACTCTCCACCCCCACTGCACCTTCCCCTGTCCTCCCTCATGTGACATGACTATGGCCTAATGATTGGCAGCGGAGGAATCCAACATTCTATTTTGGAGGTGGAGGGGTCATGTGTTCCCCCATACTTAGAAGTACTACGTAGTTATATTTTTTTAGGAATTTTTGGGATTTTTTTTTGTCCATGTCAACAGCACTGTACTGTTTATGCAGTAATTATTTATTTATTTATTACATGTACTTATATGGCGCCATTAATTTACGCAGAGCTTTACATATATATATATATATATATATATATATATATATTACATTCACATCAGTCCCTAACCCTCAAGGGGTGTAAAATCTAAGATCCCTAACTCACATTCATACATACACATACTAGGGCCAATTTAGACGGGATCCAATTCACCTACCAGCATGTCTTTGGAGTGTGGGAGGAAACCGGAGCACATGGAGGAAACCCACACAGTAATCTTTCAAACTGCAGAATGCTGGAAACAACTCAGCACAGGAAAAATGAGGTGGGAATTTTCTCAACTCTCATACCAGCTCCCTAATATCGGCTGTGTGCTTTGGTCTGCAGGAATATTGGGGAACAATGGGCTATAGGAAGAAAATTGCTTTCTTTTTTGCCCCTTCCCACTATAATGCTAGCTTTTCTCCAATGGTCATTCTTTCCCCAAGAGACCATTGAGCCAACCTAAGAAGTTTTAGGCGATCAGTCTATGGGCTTCTTTGCATGACTTTGGACAATTCACATGTATGCAGACTCTATGGAACTATAAGTCCCAGCATTGTGCTCACTGGGTCATCACAACTTTATGACAACACTACTGTGGAAAGACACCAAATAGCATACTCTACTGAAAATCTACTACCCAATAATCCATGACGTCAAGATTGAAACAGTTG